TGGTTGATTCTGGGAAGTGAGATTGGCAGGTATTTTATACCCTTCTATCCTGTTGAACTCTTTTTTCCATCGTGTGTTTTTATTATTTCTACAAATTTTAAAGACACTAGTTTAAAAACAAAGAACACCTGATTTTAATCCTCTGGCTGTGTTATCCTTGACAATGACCTAACCTCTCTAAGCTTGTTTTACCGTCCATAAAATGGGGATTCTATGGAACTTACAGAGCTGAGACGAAGACTGAGACAATATGCATTAAACAAGTAACACAGTGCACAAGACAGACAGTCAATAAATGTCACCTCCCCTTGGCGCCAGGAAACCTTGGAAATCCTCTTAATTCAACCTCCTCTTGTTGGTAAGAACGCCAAAGCCAGAAAAGGTTTAGGGACTTGCCCAAGGTCAGTCAAGCAGTAGCCAGGAGAGCCGGGCCCTGAAGCCTGGGTTCCTGTGCCCTAATATAAAAACCGACTTCATATGAACCAAGGAACAACTGTTACTACTTTATGCCCATACCTTGCTTTGCAGGGCCAGCCCCCTCCCCTGCCTCACTCACCAGACTTGATGAGTCTTAACTTTTCCAAAACACCAAATCCACCATCAATTGAGAGGTCCTACCAGGGAAGGCAGGCCCAAGCGGGAGCTCTGAGACTGTCTTGATCAAAGGTAGCACTAACCTCACAAGGGGCAACAATGATTTGGACATGGATATGTCTTAAAAAACCATTCACATCTTACTGCAGCCTTGCCACTCAGGTACCTATCTGTGTGTGCACATGTGTGCACATATGCACACACACACGCACACACAAACACCCAAGCTAACTTCTAGCCCTCTAGCTCAAACACATCACCCAGGTTAATTTGCTATTGGGAGTCTGAACAAATTTTGTTGAATGAGAAATTCTACATAGGAGCAGCCCGGGGCATGGAGCCTGGGGGCCTGGGGCATGGAGCCAGGGACCAGACCCCACCCCCACCCCCACCTACAACCAGGCACACCACCAGTGCCTTGGGGCCCGCCCAGGGACCTGGGGTATGGATCTGGGGACCAGACCCCCTGCCCACAACCAGGCACACCACCAACGCCAAGGAGCATTCCAAAAACATCACCTCCATGTGGGTGGCCCACTACAGCTGCCACAGTAACCGCAGCTGCCATGAAAGTGGCTAGACGTCACAACCACCACGCAGATGGTCTGCCAGCCACTGGAGTGCATTGACACAAGGAGAATCACCAGCAGAGACCAAAGAAAAGAATAGGATGTCTCTCTCCACAAAGACCATTCCAGAGTGACAGAAGAAACATCTGCTCTATGATAATATTGGGGGATGTGAACACATCTTTCAGGATTGGACAGATCATCTAGGCAGCAAATCAACAGAGCAACCATTACTCTTTCAGAGGGAGAGAAGAAATCTAGGGTTATCAGTGGTTGGAGGGGGGAGGAAGAGGGGGATAGGGAGAGATTGGACAAAGGGCATAAAGAATAAGTATAATTTGTAACAATATACATACTAGTAATATTGATTTGATCAACATATGTCAACATTGAATCCCAAAAATATGTATAATTGATTATGATTCAATAAAAAAAATAAAAATGCCTGTTCTTTAGCAGTCTGTGTTTAAGTAACAGGTTCTCTTTTCAGGGATATTTATACAAAAGCCTATATAAAACGTTTGGGGCTCAGTCTTCTGATTAAGATGGAATGACTTTCAGAATGCTTTGTTAAGGATTTATTGTTAGCTGGTCATTTCTTTTTCTCTTTGAATGATTTCCTTAGAAAGAAAGCTTCCTGATTGTCAGAGCTTAAGTAATAGGGCACTCACCTCCTTTCCTAATTTCTTTCAAAAGGTGCATGTATCTTGTCAAGAACAAAGACCAAGGTGTCTTAAGTGCCTACAGAAATGAAATTGTGGGTCCTACCAAGGGCAGAGGTCAAAGAGAGACACGCAGAAAAGAATAGGGCAGCAGATCAGTCTGTTCAGAATAGTAGTTGATAGGGTACCATGAATGATGGGTTATTAGATAAGGAGCTACAGACAACAAAGCATTTGAAGGTATGTGAAAGGGTAAGAAATGGACCCATGTATAATTTAAGACATTTTCCCCTTTCCATAATCACACCCAACATTATTCGTTCACCTAAATCACTGCAGCAGACAGTTCGCTGCATTTTAACAACCCTATGTAGTTATGGGAGGATGTGATGCCTGGAGCTGTGGCTACCATCTTGAGACAGTGGGAAGATAAAATGAAAGCCAAGGAGATGTAAAAGATGGGAAGGTCCCTGGTGACTTGGTTCAGGGTGCTGCAGTCCCCACTCAACCCTGAAAAAAGCTTACTGACTCCCTCCCTGCCAAATCCTGGCTATCAGGTATGGACCACCCAGAAGTTACTCAGGTTAATTCACATGTAGCCTCTCTTCACTACTGCGCCAAGGGCATGCTCACATGCCCGATGGGGAGGATGGCTGTGGAGTCTGGCTTTCCTGTGTAGGTGCTGTCAGCAACTCAGGGATATTTTATTGATTTCTTCAGAGGTTGGGACATAGTAATAATGCTAAGTGTGTTTCTTACCCCAGACTAGCCTCTAAGCCTGGCTGGGTGCCAGGGGTGCTGCCAGGGACTGCTAAGGGGGGCAGGTAAGGTGTGTTATGATGGAAACATTATGAGCTCTGGAGTCTCACAACGAATAGTGTCCCACCTTCCCCAGCCCAGGTGTGACTGTGGGCAAGTCACTTCTCTCAGTCTCAGATTCCTCATCTGTAAAACTGGTATAAATAATGAGATATGTGCAATGCCTAACTCAACGCGTGGTACACAGCCCTTCAGTAAGGATCCATCCCCTTTTCTTCCCTTCTCTTCCCTTCCCTAGAGTAGAATGTGGCAAACTTTTGGAAAACCCATCAGTGGGTCAGTAACGTTACATTCCTAGGAAACAGGAATGCAGCAAGCATTTTCATAAATCCACTGGTTGGTGGTAAGTGCCCAATGTGGAAGGAAGAGCTCAGTCACCAAAGTCTGGAAGGCGTAAAGCTTGCTCCCAGATATCCCTGCAGCCCTGCAAAGGAAGCCCCATGGGCCTTCCAAAGAGCAGCACAGTCACTGTCACCCACACAGACTCTAACTTCCTAGAGGGCAAAGACTATGTTCTCTACCCTCCTCTCTAATCTCTTTATTACCACACCCCAGCCAGTACTCAATAAATGTTATTAAAAATGAAGGGGAAAAAAGGCAAAAGTTTCTGGGAGGTGGTCATGTCTTAAAGCCATAAAGCGCTGCAGTATCAACCCAGGGGAGGAGTTCCCTCAGGCCTGTGAAGGAGGGTTAGGGACCATTACATTACATCTGCAAACACAGGATTAGCAGATGGAAGGAAGTTTTTGTTAAGATGTGACAAGTCACTCTGTGCCTTACCTTCCTTCCTTCACTCTGGAAACAGGAAAGAACAGACTTCCTAGGAATTACAGAAAGTGACCAAGAAAACCTCTTGTTACTGGGGGGGAAATCAGTTAGCCAGCTTCCGAAATCATTCTGAAACCCTGGCTCTATTAACAATAACAAAATCTGTCTTCATTAACATCTTTAACCTTAGTCCTTGGAGCTCCGTCCCAGGGGAATGGTGAATTACACTATAAAATAACAAATGGAAACTTAAGTCACTTCCGCCCACCCAGCACTGCTTTTCCTCCCTCCTCCGGGCTGCACAGGACAGAAGGTGGCACCCTTCCAACCCATACAAAGTGTGGGTAAACGCACTCCATGCCACTAACTAGACTCCTAAGGTCAGCATCACGTAGGACAAACTCTTCCCTCAGCCCAGTGTTACAGGCCAGACACTGACCCAGACACTGAACACATTTTGAGATCATTTAAACCCCACTTGCATCTTTGGAAATACACTTTACAGGAAAAGAACAAAATGGGGGCGGGGGAATGTCTTTTCACAAGGCTCCTTCTGTAGTCACAAACTGCTACTGCCAATCTAAGGTTCCAGCTCTCAAACGGATGGAATGGAGTGGGGGAAGCCCAGCTCTGAGGTCTTGTCAGTACTAGAGGAAGCTGACTAGGCAGCTTTTGTGACCTTATGTGAACGGGATATGGTCAAAATATCCTGCACACGCCAGCCACTGGGGCAGGGGTGAAGAGAAAGGGGAAATGGGGGAGGGAGAGAGAGATGTGTCTATTCTGCTCCACTATACCAGGGCCTGCGACACACAGATGTGCAAAAACTTGCAAGAGCCGCCTGACTGTGCCTGCATGCCTGGTAACTCAGGAGGAAAGCCCCGGAGTCTGCGCGTGAGAGAGACAGAGAAAAAGTAAGAAACGGAAAGATTAGCAGTGGGTAGGGTTAGAGTCGACACCTGTGCCCCAAACTCTGCTTTTGGCTCTCTCTGTGCCTGTGAAGAACGATGCAGTTTCCCCACGGTACAAACGGGCATCGAGATAACTTCATAATCATCAAACTCAAATGGTTCCCGAAATCCTATACTTTTCTCGACAGTTCCCCGTCTCAAGTTCCATTATGACTATTTCAAACCTTCTCTCCTCTCCTCAGGCCTCTCATACCTCCTGCTTTATAGAGGGAAGGAACTGGGAGTGCGGAGACGCGGTTCCGCCTCAGCCACAGTTAAACATCCCCTCTCGCCTCAAAGTCCTCCTCTGAGGGGGCAGGTGGCTAAGCTGGAGATCCCGATCGATCTCCCAAACTCTAAGAACAGGACTTTCCCAGCGGCTTGGCCCTGATCTGACAGGATGGGATTCCGGACGCACTTTCCGCCCCCCACCCCCCAGGCCGTTCAAAGCTCCCCGAAGTCCCTTCCTCGCCCCCGCCCCAGCCGGGGCCACCTTACTCGGATCCGCCCCGGGCGCGGGGGTGAGAGGCTACGTGGCGCCGTCGGCTCCGGTCTCCAGCGGCGTCTCCCCGTCCCTGGGCGGCTCCGCGTCGCCCTCCTCTCCGCTGCGAGGGTAGGCCAGCAGTCGCATGGCTGGAGCGCAGGCGGCCTCCACCTGGCGCACCCACCTTTAGGTTGAGGCCTGGGTCACGCAACAGGGGCACCAGCACGCCCAGGTCGAGCAGGCGCACGTCCTTGATGACCACCACCGGGTACTTGCGGCACTCGGCTTCCAGGGCGCGTAGCGCCACGGGTGGGCAGCTGCGCTCGCAGGCGGCGTCCTCGACGAGGCCCACCTCGGCGCGGGCACGGGACGCGCCGGGACACAGCGGCGGGGAGCAGATGACCTTGTTAGTCCGCCAGCGGAAGAGGGCGGCCGTGGTGAGATTGGCAGCGTCCGGGGCGCGCGCGGCGGGGTCCCCCGGCGGCGAGTACAGCCGCAGCACCGAGAAGTCACAGCGGAAGAGCGAGCGCAGCATATCGCGCAGCGCGCCCTGCAGACTCTCGGCGTCACCCGGATAAAGAGCCTGCCATAGATGCCACATGGGCTCGTACAAGTAGAAAACGTCCGGGTGCTGGTTAAAGAGCTCACCCAGGAAAGACGAGCCGGTGCGCCAGGTGGCATGCACGTAGATGTGCTGCTTCTCGTGAGACACCGCCTCCCCGACGGCGACACTGAGGTTGACCGGGGAGCCGGGGGACTGGCCCGTGGCCCCCTCAGCGGCGGACCGCGCCTTTGCGCCCTCCTCGCGTTCGCCAGCCTCCGCCGCCTCCAGGCTCCACACTCCCAGGCTGCGCTGCAGGCCTGGGCAGTGCCCGGCGCCCGTGTCGCCGTCGCGGCCGCCGTCCAGTACGGAGGGGACGAGCAGCAGCACCAATGTGTACAGCACCAAGAGCAGCGCGAACTTGCAGTACTCTCGGCGGCGCCGCCGCCGGCCCTTCATCGTTCACCCACCCTCCCAGAGCGGGTCGGGCGCCCGTCCTGTCCCCTTCCTCAGAAATTGCGTCCCGAGTCCGCTCCTCTGGCTTCTCCGGGTCCCTCCGCACCAGGATGAGAGGAGCCACCCGGGCCGTGCATCTACGAGGGGAAACTTGGGAGGCGGTGGTGCTAGTGGCGGCGCCCCTGTCCTCTCGGCTCAGCCGCTGGAGACTGCCTATTGGCCGGCTTGGCAGCCGCCCGCCCCGCCTTCAACCCCGCAGCTTCTCCCCGCCTTTCTACCCGTCCGAGTTCGCCTTTGGCTCTGCCAGATCTGGGCTGGGCTGCCGCGGGGTGGCGACGGCGGAGCACAGAGCCAGACTCCACCTTTCCCCAACCCCTCCGTAATGAAGTCAAGTCTTCGCGAATTGACTTTAGGCAAGGAGGGGCTCGTGTATACAGAATGTACCCCATGACGGGACGTGGACCCCACCCAGAGAACTCCACTGGCTCTTCTGTTATATGTCCCCTGCCTGGCCATCTTGTCCTAGGCGGATAACCACTGGCTATTATCTACATCCAGCGCCCCCATCAGCCCTGGAGTGGGTGTTACTAAATTCTGGATAGAGAACTTCTGGATAAGATAAAGATTGCACATTGCCTGGCAGTCGAGGGGATTTGGAGGTACTACTGCATTCACTCAGGACATTTAATTATTAAAGTCTGGCTTTGGTGAAATTCTAAGTGTTGTGTTCCTTAGGATTTAGCCAGCCGAGGGTCCTGCACATGTCACAGACACTCTGAAGCTCAGTTTACTCATTTGGAAAAATGTGGATAATTTCTAGCGCCTAAGTACCTCTTCGGGTTGTGAGATTTGGGGACTATTAATTAACCACAGTATGACCCAGCCTATTCGGACACACACGAGCAAAAGACATTTACAGAATCAGAGTGTGTAGGATGGTGAACTTTCTCAGGAGCTTGGTGTTTAAAAAGAGCCATAAGGAGGGTCATGTACCCAAGGACAGATGAAAAAGTGACAGAAAGTCCAAGAGGCAGATTAAGCTTAGAGTTACTAAAATTTAAAGGAGAACCAAAAAGGATAATTTTTGCTCTGTTTCAGCAGGAAAGCAGTGCTTCCTCTCACCCCCTTGGAGAAGGTGTTGTAAAGTTAACAAAAGATAGAAAGCAGATCTACTCATCTCCACCAGGGGAAGGTGTTCAAATTGGAAAAGTGAAAACATGTCCAAAGATCTCTGGTATTTTTCATCACAGAATCTACTGCACCTCTGAAACCACTGGCTCAAGCATTTTGCTTTCTGTCCACAATTCCCTCCCCATCCTGTCACTTGTTTGAATCTTCCCTATTTGCCAACTTCATTGGCCACTATTCCCACTTTCTTCTCAATTTTTCATATTCAGCTGAGTAGCAAGACCAGTATTTTAATAACACTCCCACTAATAAGTCAAACTCCCTTGCCCTCTGTCTTTTCATTACTCATCTAGCATAATCCCCCAAACCCTGCTTTTGGCTCTCTCTGCGCCTGCAAACACTATTGCAAAAAGTTTCCCCATGGAAGACTGGCATCAAGTTAACTTCATAATTATCAATCTCAAATGGCCCCTGAAATCCTATGCTCTTCATGTCAATTCCCGGTATCAAGTTCCATTACGATTATTTCAGACCTTCTCTACTCTCCTCAGACCTCTGATACCCTCTTCCCCCATACCAGCGCGCCCCCTCTCAACAGATGACCTTACTTCCTACTTCATAGAGAAAAGAAACCAGGTTAGACAATCTCTCACTTTCCCACTACCAGGCTCATATACCCACTTACCTCTGTACTCAACTTCCCCTTTGTAACAAGGATATTATTTTCTAAGATTAATCTATGACTTTCTCTTTCCTGATTTCACTTTTCTCTCTTCTCCTCTTTTAAGCAAATAGGTGGCTATATGCTCACCTGAGGGGGGGGGGGGATGTGGCTGGGCAGAATACAAACAGTTGCTGGTGTTTCTTTCCAAAGGCCTCAACTCCAGTAGTGGAGAGTGTGGTAGGTTTGAAAAATAACCAGAAAGTATTCCTCTTCTTTCTCCATGCCCTTCGGCAATGCCTCCCCATGTTGGCTCTGGGATGCCCTTTTGACTTGCATGGGCCCGTGGGATAGTAGCAAAACATGACACAGCGGAGGTTTGAAAAATGCTTCTGCTGTGGGGATTGCCCTCTTGCTGCTCTTTGGAACCCTGAGATCACCATGTGAAGAAACCTGGGCTAGCTGCGTAGATCAGAGAATAGGCCCTCCCAGCTGAAGCCCCCCTCAGACCAACCAGCCTGCCAAACGCCAGGCAGGTGAGAGAGGATATCCTAGACCAGTGCTTCTCAAACTTGAATATTTGAGGGATCTTGTCAAAATGCAGATTCATTGTCCCTGGGGTGGGGCCAGAAAGTCTGCATGTCTAATAAGCTCCCAGGTGTTGCTGATGCTGCTGGTCTGAGGACCACACTTGAGTAGAAAGCTGCTACCCCCTCCAGCCTCAACCAAACTGACCCACTGAACTGTGGGAAATAATAGAGTGTGTTGTAAGTCCTCGGGGGAGGGTTTGCAGCTAAAGCTAGCTGATACAGAGAGGGTGTGAGGGCACAGGTGAAATGTCTTGGAGAAGCTGGGGAAAGAGCAGCGTTCTATTGGCCCCTCCACTGCGAGATTTCCCGTAGGCTGGGGGAGGGGGTGGTGAAGGAAAGAGAGAAGTCCATGGGCCCCACAGCAGAGAGCACATGAGCTCTTTTTCCTGGCAATGAGTCTGGGCAGAGCAGGAGTCGAGGAGGAATGGACGCATGGTTCATCTTGACAGATGATCAGGGGCATTGTCCCAACCTTCCTGGGCCCCAGTTAGGGTGGGAGAAGGAAAAACTGGTTATTTGCAAATGGGACAAACAGGTTTGCTGAGCAGGCATGCACATGCGCAGAAGTGGAGACAAAGACAATTCCAGACAGGGAGCCCCCCCACCCCCGACCTTGGGCGCCGTTCAGTTAGAACAATGAGTTCTCACCAGCTAGGGCACCGGTCTCTTTAAGCAATACCACAGCGATTACATTCAGGGCTCAACCAATGACCAAATGGCACGAATCCAACTAAGAGGACTTAAAGCCCCAGGAATGTAACCTTCGGGGCTCTTGAGCACTCTTCTCTGTCGTTCGGGCCCACTCCATTTTCTCCAGAGTGTACTCTTCCCTCTTCCTTTGCTAAATAGGGACCTGGAATTCTCCTGCAACACAGTCACAGCATGGAAGCAGCAGAAGAGTCATAGGGACAGTGATGGCAACATCTCGGGGCAACTATGTGGACCAAAACCAAATGATCAGAAGACCCCAGATCAATGGTACAATCCTGGGAGTAGAGAAACCCTAGGAATTAACAAGGTAAATTGTCTGTCATTCCAGCAGAAAGAGAAGTCAATCAACAGCAAAACTGTTTTCTATAAGGAGCTTTCTATCACACTGAGGTTAGTGGACCTCCTACCCTTTTTTCCCCTCTGGTACAATAAAGTAGGTCCTTGTCCCTCCTATCAGTCACCACACCGCCCTCCTGTTTATTCACCCACACCCTCTCAACTGTATTGTTCCCATTGATGTGAAAGTTAAACGTAGTTAAACCTCTCTCTTTCTCTTTTTAAAAGTCCCATTGATTCACACCCTCCTCTAGCATAGCTGCTGCCGACACATACAGCACCTTTGTGGGAACCAGAAGATGCTCCCTCCAGAGAGATGAGATGCAACAAGGGGGCTGCCCACATTGAAATAAGTACCCCTTCCTCTGGGCACAGTGCCAGGCCAAAATGCACAGCTTGAAAGCAGAACCCGGCTGCGTCCCAGTCTGCTCCTGCAGCCTCTGCCAGGCACCCTCGCCCCCTTTTGTCCTGCCACTGGCTTCTCTGCCCACTCCTCACAGACCAACCTCTTGGTCTATCTTGTTCTCTTTACGCTCTTGTCTCCTACTCACTCCTTAGCACACTTCATTCTGGGTTCTGCCTCCATATTGCTACATAAACAGCTCCTTCTAGGCTGATAAGCCATTGATAAATGGCTTCCATGTTACTGAATCCAGGGGACTTTTCCATGTCTCACCTTTGACCTTTCAATAGCATTTAACACTGTTGACAGCTCCTGCCTTCAAGCCCTCTCTTCTTTCAAATGCCTGTGACATCATGCTTGCTCGGTTCTCCTGCCATTTCACAGCTGCACCTTCAGAGCACAGTGTTTGGGAGATTGGGCTCTTGAGTAAGACCACCCAAGTTCATAAGCCAGCTCCACCAGCTCCACCAACTCTGTGGCATTGGGCAAGTTACTTAACCTCTCTGTACCTCACTTGTAAAACAGCAATTCTTTTTTTTAGTCCTTTCTGAGACCGGCCGCACAGCGCTCAGCCAGTGAGCACTGTGAGCGCACCAGCCAGTCCTATATAGGATCCAAACCCGTGGCGGGAGCGCTGTGCTGCGCCCCCAGCGCCGCACTCTCCCGAGTGCGCCACGGGCTCGGCCCACAGCAATTCTAATAGTAACTATTGTGCAGGGTGGTTGTAAGAGTTAAATTGTATACATAATCTCAGAACAGGCCTGCCATGGAGTAAGATTCAAGTGTAATGAGTTACAACCATTGCTGCTGTTGGGGTGAGGTCATTCAGTGTTAGAATGTTAGGATTCCTCAGGCTCAGCCCTAGGCCCTTTTTCTTCTCACTCTATGGTCTCTTCAGCTCCAAATTCCCCACTCCCACCAGGCTTCCCCTTGGGGCTCCACACCTAGAAATCCACTTGCATGCTTGACATTCCCTCTTGGTTGCCTCGAGGACATCTCCATTTTAATATGTGAATGGCAAAACCATCTATTATGCATTAGAGATTTAGGAGTTGTTCTTGGAGTCTCCCTCTTCCTCAGCCCCCCTCCCCCTATCACCAAGTCAGGTTGGTTTTTCCTCCTCAATATCCCTTCAATCCCTGCACTTCTCTTCATTGCTACTGCTACTACTCTA